AGAGTAAATAGGCGTAAAATACGCACACACACAGTCTCATTATCATAAAGCTATATAACAGATTGTCTTTGACAAAGCACACATATTTATCTTGACATTATAATAAATTTTCAAACGTTCCACTGTTACGTTAGTATCATATACATACATATAGATTACTGTAATAGTATTATTTAAAGTATTACTTTTAGAATTGGTATATTCTTTACAAAATGAATTATTTCCATTGCTTTATTCTTTTACTAATACCTTTAGTTTTTTCTTATCCTCGTTCTAATTCCAATGATTTCAATAATTTTCTTGAAGCGTACTTAAAAGACCGATCAGGAGAATTGAATGAAGATAATAATGAAAATTCGAATGAAGAACCTTTTGTTCGTCGACAAAAAATGTTTAATCTTTTACCTATACAACAATATCAACCACAATTACAACCAACGTGTCTCCCACATATATGGACATGTGGACCAGGTTTACCACCATGTTGTCCAGGTCTTATGTGTTATGATGGCAATGCAAAACGTGGCCGACAATGTGTTACACGAGGATAAGTTTGATGTTTTAATAAATGACATTTTTTGAACTTAAAATTGATTGTATTGTGTGTTATAAGATCAATTTGAAATAAACTTTACAATCATTTTCCTTGCATTTGATCTTATAGAAATATCTTAACTATTCTGTTTTGTTGTTGTCAGAATAAAAGAATTTTCAATAAGCTTAAGGATTGGCATTAATCAACGGACTGCAATCGTCAACGATTTATAATATTACATACATAATTTGAAGACTAGGTTTTTTTTTATTAAAGATATTAAGCCATATAAGAATCTCCATTGATATGATTAGATACTTCTATTAGTTTATGTACAAAACATGCTTTCTTTACAATTGATTATTATATCAGATGTACATGATCAGTACGAATAATCCAAAGGATAATATTTTGTCTAATTTTCTAATTTATTTTTTTAAAATGTAATTATTAATGTTATTGTGAACTGACAGTAAAATACAAATTTGTTAATATGAAAATTCACTCTTTCTATTTCGTCACTATTTACTATCTAGAATATTCGTATTATTATTAATATCTATACCATTGAAGAATATTTATTGAGTTATTTTGTATTTGTCCCCATTAAAGTAAAATATCATTTTACTGTTAAAACTTTACTTTATTTTCCAAATAAGAAGTATTTATTTTCAAAAAGAAAAAAATCAATATTTGCATCTAGAGATGCAATGGCATTTCGTTTCAATTATATTCGTTCTTCAAGTGACGAAAGTAAATATCTACGTGACCATCTCATTTAAATTCTATTTCATCGAAGAATTATCTGGTTATACTCATATATTCTATTATTAACAATTGTCAATAGAGAAAAATTCATTATTAATGATTTACAATATATCAGTTGCAAATACCGTTAATTTTCCTCTTGTTCATATGAAGAACTTTTATATCATAGTTTAGATGAAATTTTACAATATTTTGTCAAGGATAATTTGTTTTTTTTTTATTTGAAAATAAAGTCATATTTCAAATCAATATGTATTAAGTTGAAAGTGCAACCAATCGATTTAAAACTACATATTTTCATATCGCTTGAATTCTTGTAGGTTTGTTTTTTGATACAAACAAAATATTTCCTGTAATTCTTAATTTTTCTTAACGAAGAAATAAATAAACCAACTGATAAAAATTTAATCAAAATGAAGAATTTGAGTGACCATGCCATTTTTTTGTTGACAAATACTCATGGACGATCAATTTGATAGTCTATAGTGAAAAGGAAATCTTCAAACGCTCTGCATATGTTTATGAGATTTAAATGATAAATAAAGTTTAAAAATTACATTTTCTCTGTGCATCAAACGTATATTTAGCAGTTTTTTTCTTTAATGTGATGTATAGCATGTGTACCAACACATCTAACTAATTCTGATTATGATAGTTGGTTCATACCATTCAAAAATGAGTGTAGGGCTCTATCAAATAAAATGAAAGATATGTCATGGCGATCGAAATTCTGTCTATACGATTTTTTTGCCAATCAGACTTTTGTTAATATACCCCGGTAATTTCGTCAATTTGCGAATGTACTATACATGAGAGTATGAAACCACATACATTTTTCTTATTACTCGAAACAAAAATACCCCTATCTGTAAAGGTAAATCATCGTTACTTTTTGCTTTCTATCTGCTCTCTTCTTTGTATGAGTTTTTCTTTCTACCAACGACAAAATTAATTATACACCTATTTTTGATAGACATTTTCATTAATAGTCAATCACGAAAACTATAAGTTTTTCAGAAAATTTTTTCGTCTACAGGACTTTGTAGAGCTCGTTTCGCTGATCATTTTGGTAAAAAAAAATATTCAAATTTACTCGATAAATAAGAGAGCTCGGATCGAAATACTCAAAAGTTTCGACTGTTTGTGATCGTTGCTAAGTAGTAGTTGGTATTTTTGAGTATTTTGATCCAAACTCCCTTATTTATTGAGTAAAGTTGAATATTTTTATTTTACCAAAATGATCAGCGAATCGAGCTCTACAAAATCCTATAGACAAAAAAATTTTGTGAAAAACGTATAGTTTTCATGATTGACTATTAATGAAAATATCTATCAAAAATAGGTGTATAATTAATTTTGTCGTTGGTAGTTTAGTGCTGATCTCGATAAGAAGTGTTTCTCTTTTTTTTCCTTCTCTTGTATGAGTAGTTTATGAGAATGTGGTCATAGTAACATAAATATAAAGGCTAGGATTTAAGTGATCAGTAAAATAGATGAATTGATTAGTATGTTAGAATATTATTAAATCAGTAGATCGAATGATTGATTAGTAAACCGGATAAATGATCAGTAAACGGAATAATTGATCAATAAATTATTTTGATGATCAGTTATTTATTAATAAGATTTGTAAATAAATTTGAAAATCAGTAAATATAGATAATTAACAGTAAATACAAAGATGAGTATAGAAATTCAAATGTGTTATAGTGTAATTCATTTTTTTCTGTTCTTCGACTATGTCGTACAGATAACAAGCACAACGTATATATATTAGTGCCCAACCTTTGATTCAATCCAATCTTAGACGCGCCTAGCCAATATGAGATTCTCAGATTTGCCTAGTCAAATGTCGGATTGGGTAACTGATTTTCGTGAAAACTTCCAATTGTTCCTGGATAGCTATTACTTTGAAATACCTCTTACTGAACTGTTTTGAAAAAAAAATGGCATTTCAACTAATATAATCGTCGATAGAGAAATTAATTTAGAATTCCAGAACTTGCAGATAAGTTTCTATAGCAGAACAGCTGTTATGAGAAATTATCCATAAATGTTCGTATTTAAACTTGGCTTCTTCATTGATGATGGCAATGTCGGAATACCGTTGTTTTAACCTAGTTCAGTAATATATACTCTAATACCATATCTATCTGGTGATTAATGAATGCTTGAACGAAAAGTGCTGTCACTATCTGTCATTGCACTAGTTCAGAATGAGACTCCAGGTTGACCTAAGTGGGTCTAAGATTGGAATGAATCTGAGATTGAACATTAGCAAAATGACACTCTTTGTTTCTATCCTCTCGCTCATCATTCCTTAAATTTTAACAAGTGAAAGAGATGAAAATGGTACTGGTTGCATAATATGCAGGCGATCGATCCAAAGAAGTTGTGAAAGAAAATGCTTAATCGTTTAATATATTACAAACAAGAAGGAGCAACAAAACCAGTTCCAATTGGTGAGAAAAGAAAAAGAAATAGACAAGCTAAGACTAAACCTAATTTGCTAGTCCGATAATTCCATTTTTATATTCATTTTCGCTTTTCTCACTTACTCCTTAGATTTCTATAAAATATTCTTTGAGATTGTTCTTTAATTATTTAAATTTCTTTGTCTGATAACTTTTTATTTAATACGGTTAAAACTTATTTTTCTACTGATCAAATCTCTATAATATATTGATCATTCTATTATTATTTACTCATACTTTTAGTGCTGATCATACAATTTTTATACTAATCATTTGATCTTTATACTGATCATTTATCTATGTTTTTTTACTGATCATTTAATCTATTCTAGTGATCAAACATTTTGTTTCCAAACATAAATGCAGTGATGAAGTAGCCCAATCAACATCATTATCGAGAATAACAGCATAGATACTCATCCAGTTCATCACACTAACCTCCTCTAACAATCGTAACTAGAATATCATTTGTGACATATATATTTTTCTCATTAATACAGAAAAATATGTCTCATGTTTTTATGAGTTCTAACAATATATAAGACGATGTTCATGGAGTAATAGTTGAAATTCGAATTTGATGATCGAATGCTAAAAGCAATTAAATTTAAAATTGTTGTTTGTTGTAATACGATTCTTGAAGCACTAACTATTGATGCATCTTATAAACAAACAACAAAATTGACTACTAACAAGGACATAATCAGTTTGATCACCATCATCGCTGAGTAAAGTTTGATCACGAATGATAATACCAAGTAAGCAATTAATAAATACAAACGATTAGAAATTAAATGTCAAAAATCATCTACGAGAAAAGTTTACAAGACAGACGAAGGCAATCAAATAAAACATAGAAAAAATCTAAATAATCATATATCATCCATTAGTAGGCGTTTTTGTTTTATGATGAGAAATATCCATTCTTCATCAAATTATCTAATATTGATACTAAATAATATAAAGTATGTGCACGAAAACTTTTAACATTTATAAAAGTCAACTTCATTATTCTTGTCTGTGTTTTACTCAAAATAAATTTCGTAATTTAATTTTCAATCTCGATATGCAACATCTGAAAAATCAACAACAATGACTAGTCAACATAATCAATTGAAAGGATAGCATTTGATTTTAGTTTTCTTCAGCTATGACATCATTAAAGACTTTTTTATTTATTAATGAATAATAAACTTAAGCTTTAGTAGTGAGAGGCACATGCAAGTAGATAGTGATAAGAGTAAAACACACACAAGACAATATCAAAACGAACAGATATGCAAACATCAATATGAGAAAAAAAAGGAAAATATGTACAATATATGTTCATGATTAGTATATGAGAAAAAGAGAAATATTAATAATAAAATAAGAAACGAAATTAGAATTAACTTTTTTTTTTTGTAATAAAATTTTTCGGTTCAAAATACTAAGATTTCATTTTGACATTATTTATTTTAAACGAAGAAATTCTGTTTATACAATTAATTTAATAATGTTGGAACAACAGATGCGACTTGTAAAGCTGTTGTATCACCAACCATATTTCTATGTGTCCATCGTCTAATTTTCAAAATTATAACTTTTTTCAATTCTGGTAAAGAAATTAAGCAAACAAAAGGCAAAAATAATTGAATAAAATAAATTAAATAGAAGAAGATATTAAATTGAACATCAATCAGAAATGTTGGAGAGAAAAATTGTTGAATTAAACCCGTAACTGCAATTGGTAACCAAAATACAAGAAAAAGTGATGAAATTGCAAGTAATTGTATGGTCATTTTTCGATTCTTTTTTGTTCGTTCAGCATTATGTCTTATTCCAGTTGAACGATATATAACTCGAATAATTAGTAAAAGATTTGCAAAAGCAATTGCAAAAGCTGGTATGATTATATTAACTAACCAATCTCCAATACCCAGAATTTTATTTTGATAAAAACATGGTGCCGTACATAATAATTCATTATAATTCCAATTATTAAAACAGCTATGTATATAAATTAAACAAGCATAGCATAGTGGTGTGTATAATATTGCTATACTAAGTGGTATATAATGAAAAGCAATACGTTTCCAGTGAATTTGAAAAGTAGCCTGAGAAAAAATCATAATATGACGTTCAATAGATGCCCAAAGCACTAAAATTTACAAATAGTTAGTGAATTTAAAATAAAAAAATAAAAAAATAACTTACTAACAAATAAACTAATACCATTTAATGAAAATTCATACCAATTAAAAAATAAACAATAACCATATGTTGATGGTCGTACAACACCAGTATCTAAATAATTTTCTACCATGGATAATTCAGTTGTTACTTGAACAAAACTTGTCATTAATAATGCAAGAATAAAATGATTTCCAATTGGTTTTATTAATTTTGATGATCGATACACGATATTGGTAAATACAAATAGAGAACATATGATTGATAATACTTGACAAGGTAATAAAATTGCAAGTTTAATAGAACGATTGTTAGCTACGACAGCCTCGCTTGTACTTGTATTTGTGAGTGTATTATTAACACTCATACGTATGAATATCATGCGTGCGTCCATTACTTTTATGTGTGATGAAAATGAAAACGTACGGATATATATATGCAGATAGAGCGAAAGACAGAAGTTGTTTTTAACAACAGATGAGAATAAGCATGCTATCTTCCGGTGGAAATGATCCCCTATAGTTTCTATTATCACGAGTCAAGTATAATTGGTAATGGATCATAAAATAATAGTAAGTTGGAGATTTTTGGCTGATTTAAATCGTGAATAAAAGATTACTGTAAATAAACCAAATGAATTCTACCATGCAGAAAATTATAGCATTATGCTTCTGAAGCAAGGAAACGTCTTCCATTTAATATGTTGTCAAGACCGAAATTATAATTATAACAATGATAAATATAATGATTTGATTTTTTCTAGTATGATGATTGAAATTTACAAATTGTAATCAAGATTGTTATGTCAAAGTGTTCTTTTAAAAAAGGAACAGGTTCAAAGTTGTTTCTTGACAAAAGAAGAAAATAAAGCCAAAATTGATATCGATGGTAAACTTCGATGTATGAAGTCCCTAGGGAAAAATACAAAGCACTTAAAAAGTTGTAAATTGTGAAATAGTTGTTTTCTAATAGTAGACATACATAAGATTATTTTCATCACTGTATCATTACGAACCAATAAGCTTCAAGAAAATTATCTAACTTCAACTGATGTTGTTCAGATGACAAAAAAGTTTTGATTCACAACATTTTTAACTGAAACTTCACAAGTTGTAACTAATTGTTGAACCATATACGACATGATATATTATTTTTGTATGTTGCTAAATTAGCTTGTATTTTATGAATTCTTATAGATTCTTTCTTAAAGAAGAATTTCTATGAGTTAAAAATGACTATATTAAGATAATTCAAATCTCAAGTGGAAGCATTTCCAGTATCTACTTTGTTTATAAAATTATTGTTTTTGTAGAACGAGTCAACAAGAGATATTTAGAACGAAAATAGTAATGAAATCATTCATCGGTATATTTGAACAACTGACAATACTTTATTATCTACATTTTCTTGAAATGTGACTTAGTAGAAAGTACAATAATGAAAAAAAATTTAAAGAAAAAAATACGAGATTGTTCAGAAGAAAGTTGCATTGAATAATTTTATTTAATCTAATTTGATTCAAGAATTAGCAATCAAACTACTTGAATTAAACTAAACTATATATTGAATACTTATTTTTTTAGAATCAGATCTTCGATATCATTAGTTTATGGAAACACCACAGGTATCCAACTTTTCAACAGCGCACCAAGATTCCGCTTACTAACATCCACATGTTGACGAGCTCTACTCAGTAAAATCCACTTTGTCCTAGTGAGATAAAAGCTATATCATCAACAAGGATCGTAAAATGACTTCCGCCGACACTAACACCAGGATTCCTCTTATATTTCACAGAAACACGTCAACTTGTCTTCATTAACATTCACGAAAACATGCAATCCACTCATTGGTATACGATCAAAATACATTGTGAAGTATATTTGCTTCAAGAAAGCTTCAAACTATGAAAAAAACTAAAAATAAGTAAAACTGTATGAAAATCAGCAGGAAAACCCTCTAAAAACACTTAATAGCGTTTGATTGAATCATATAAGCAATCAGATAAACTCGATCTATATTACACTAATGTCATGAGGAATATTTAATTCAATCTCTGGTGTAAAGTTCGAAATACCTTCCTACATATTTTATATCAAAAATGCTTGAAAACGATGAAAAACGCTTAAAAATAGCTACTAAAATCCGATAAAAGTTATGTTAACATGTGAATAATAGCCTATTTAAATTTCGTAGCATCGATAAAAAACATAGATACTTGTTTATATGCAAAAAAATGAAGTTAAAGTTGTCTTCATGTACAGTTTTCTCTGAAGAACAGTTAAAAATAAGAAATATAC